TGAGCCCTCACTGGTTCAGGGCCTGTTCCTCTTGATGTATGCTCTTTAATCTTTCTAGACTAGACTAGATTGGTTCTTAGATTTCTCTTGACACATTGTAAAATGTTACTTTTTGGGCGTTTTTTAATATAGTACCTTTCATCCAAAAAAAAAAATCTAAATCCCTTAGAGAAGGTCCTCAATATCATTCTTGATTCCTAAAATACTTTTGGATTGTAGTTTCGTTCTTTGTATTCTATCTACCCGAGTGCTTGTTATTTTAGAGTTTGCAATCCCTGCTTCCCTTTGTCACTATTTTACTGGCTGCTATGCTGCGATTGACTTTCTCTTCAAGTGACTATATGTTGACTCTCCGTGTGACTTTCCTTGTTTTTATAACTGGGAGCCTTATCTTGTTGCTTAGCAGGTCAAATTAAAATTTTAATTTATTCTCATGCTTAATCAATTGACTTATTCAGTTGATTTCATAATTTTTATGAATCATTCTGTAATGGTACTTGTTTAGTCGCGTAGTTTGTACAGATTGTGTAATTTATTTCTAGATTAAGAGCCGATGTGCCTCATGACCAAAATGGATTAGAGTTTAAAGCATGTCATTAGGGAAATTTCTGTCTTGATGCCTTGAATTGTGTAGTTGTACACTAAAACTAGTCTGCTTTAACTTGAGACTGAAATCATGTGCAACTAACCCATCCTTAGTTTGCAAGAGCGGAATCCCAATATACTCGTAATAAAAGACATGAAACTTGGAGCCCGTTTGGTAACACTAGAATCAGCTGAATCGGTTGTTTCTAGTGATATTTATGAAGTTCTGGCTGAAATGGCTGTATTGGCTGATTATTGAAAAATTTATATATAAAATATACTCCGTATTTTATTTATAAAATAAAGAAAAAATTATATTAAAAGATAGCTAAAACGATCCTCTATAGTAAATTCAGCCAATACAGTTAGAAAAGTAACTACAACCTTATATTTTCTAGTTGAGTGATACCAGTTGAGATTTGTTTCTAGTCTATTATGGTATTGTTCTTTCTGCCGTGCAGCTTATTTTAATAGGTAGAATATTTTATATTTTTCTTTATTTGGTTTAGCTTATGCTGTCTTTTTTCTCCATTTTAGTGAATTCTAAAGTAATGGAGATAGATAGAACGTGGATGTATACACATAGACTTTCTCTCAAATTCAAGGATGGTTTATCTAATTTCCTTGATCACGCTTTCGCTAAAGTAGCTTGTGGGGATCAAGTTCTCTGCCCATGCAAACAGTGCAAAAATCGTTATTGGTTTCGCAGGGATGAAGTGTGGAATCATGTAATAGTAAAGGGTTTTGTGGAAAATTATTTCAAGTGGAACTTTCATGGAGAGGGACCTATGTCAAATGATCCTAGAGCTGAAGATGAAAATGATGATGACGTGTTTGACAACATCGATGATCTTTTAAGCGATAGGTTTAGAGGATGCCATGAAAGTGAGAGACAAGATGGTATGGACGATGATGCGAGAAAATTCTATTCTTTGCTCGAGGAAGGAAAGCAAGAATTGTATCCAGGATGTAAAAGCTTTACTACTCTATCTTTCACGATCCGCCTTTTACTTTTCAAGACAATCAATGGAGTGAGCAATGCTGCGTTTTCTGAATTACTAGCGCTTTTCAAAGAAGTAATCCCTCATGGGAAATTTCCTAAATCATTCAATGAAGCCAAAAATATGGTAAAAGACATAGGGCTTCAATACGAAAAGATACACGCATGTCCCAATGACTGCATGCTCTACTGGAAAGGAGATGCTAATCTAGAATTGTGCCCTAAATGTCATACCTCTAGGTGGAAATTGAATGAAGAAAAAAAGAATACTCATAAGGGGAATGTACCAGCTAAGGTTTTGTGGTACTTTCCATTAAAACCAAGGTTGAGGATGTTATATATGTGCTCAGAAACCGCTGAACAAATGACATGGCATGACTCAAAACGCCCAAGGGATGGTAAGATTAGACATCCGGCAGATGGTGACGCTTGGAAGAAATTTGACTCATTGCACCCTAATTTTGGAAAGGAAGCTAGAAATGTGAGGCTGGGGCTTGCGAGTGATGGATTTAATCCTTTTCGTACAATGAGCATTGCTCATAGTACTTGGCCAGTGGTTTTGATAAATTACAATATTCACCCTTCGTTGTCAATGAAGTCAGAAAATTTAATGTTGTCCTTATTGATACCAGGACCACACTCTCCTGGAAATGATATCGATGTGTATCTTCAGCCATTGATAGCAGATTTGAAGGATTTATGGACTGATGGTTTTGACACATACGATAAGTATAGGGGTGAGTCATTTAAATTACATGCTGCAGTGCTATGGACAATTAGTGATTTTCCCGGTTACTCTATGCTTTCTGGATACAAAACGAAAGGAAAATTTGCATGTCCTGAGTGCAGTTATGATACTCCTTCATTGTATCTCAAACATAGTAAGAAGACTGCTTACATGGGCCATCGTCGATATTTAGATGTTGATGACCCAAAACGGAATACAAGAACATCAATTGAGAAGAGGCTTCCACCAAAGTCGTTAACTGGATTAGATGTTTTTGAGGAGCTATCTTCATTTAATAATGTGTTTGGCAAGGCACAGAAGAAGAAAATCAATAGTAAATGCGCTTGGAAAAAAAGGTCAATATTCTTTGAACTGCCATATTGGAAATTCAATGAATGTCGACACAATCTAGATGTGATGCATATAGAGAAGAACATTTGTGACAGTTTGGTTGGAACATTGTTAGACATTCCAGGGAAAACTAAAGATCACACAAAAGCTCGACTTGACCTCGTGGAACTTGGTATTAAAAAAAATTTACAACCAGTTTTGTCAGATGATGGGAAGCACATTCTTCTTAAAAAAGCACGGTTTTCACTCTCTAATGAAGAAAAAGAATTGTTTTGTCTTGCACTAAAAGGAGTGAAATTACCTAATGGTTGTGGATCAGATATTTCACGTTGTGTGCATGTCTCAGAGAAGAAAGTCTCGGGCTATAAGAGTCATGATGCTCACATTATGTTGCATTTCTTGCTTCAAATAGCAATAAGAAGATCTTTGCCTAAACATGTTGCCATTCCTTTAATCAGGTTTGGTGCATTCTTTAAAAAGGTATGCAGTAAAGTATTTTTACCAGAAGAACTTGATCAATTAGAGTTAGAGATAAAGGAAGTTTTGTGTGACCTAGAAGAAATTTTTTTGCCATGCTTTTTTGATATAATGATTCATTTGCCCATTCATTTGGTGAGAGAAATTAGACTCGGGGGACCTGTACCTTACCGCTGGATGTATTTTATGGAGCGATATCTGTGCAAGTTGAAAACATATGTTCGTAATAGAAGTCGTCCAGAGGGTTCTATAGCAGAAGGGTACCTTATAGAAGAATGTTTAACATTTTGTTCTCGTTACTTACAAGATGGTGTGAATAGAAAGCTGCATACTGCCCCTAATGATATTGATGTCAATACTGATTGGGCAATATTTAATGTGGTTGGTCATCCACTTGGGGGAGAAAAAAGAAAAAAAGGAAAGCTATTCACCTTGGATGATATGACGTCCAGACTTGCCCATCGTTATATTTTGTTCAACTCTGACAATAAAGAATTAGAAGATTTGATCCAGTAAGAGAACTAATATAAATTTCTTCTGGATGTGTGTGTGTGTGTGTGTGTGTGTGTGTATATATATATATAATCTATTTACATTTACTACATCTTGTTCATAGGGAACACCAGGAGCAAGCTCTTAGGAAAAAAAAGCGGAGTAGATGGGCACAAGAGAATAAGCATAGTCATGAATTCCCAAATTGGTTAAAGGATAATATTTCTCATCACCACGTGTCAGATAATATATTCTGGTTAGCAAAAGGTCCATGTCCAAGTGCGAAGAGGTATCCTGGATATTTTGTTAATGGGTATGATTTTTATACGAAAGATCGTGATGAAAGATGCAGAACGCAGAACAGTGGAGTGACTGTTACAGCTATGACAAATAGCTTTGCAAGTTCTAAAGACAGCAATCCGACCAGTGGTGAAGTTGTTTACTATGGTGCTATATTAGATATAATTGAATTGAATTATTGGTCAAGGTTCAAGGTCGTGTTGTTCAGGTGTGAATGGTACCAAATAGAGAAAGATGATTATGGGCTTACATGCATCAACTCCTCAAAGTTTTGCTCTTCTGACGATCCTTTTGTCTTGCCATCACAAGTGCATCAAGTGTTTTATGTGGTAGACCCTATTAAGAATGAGCTATCCTATGTTATGGAGAGAATTCCCAGAGGTTTATTTGATTTTGAGAGACAAATAAGTGAAGACACTGGAGTTAACTACTGGGAGGAGCCTACAGATCATCAAGAAATATTTCCTAATGTTTCCATTGATGGTACCGATGAGGCGAGAGAAGATTTAGCTCCAATCATTCTTGATGCTCAAATAGAGACTGTAAATGTTGGGCAGTCAGCCAATGAAACCATAAATGAATATGATGACGATGATGACGATGAAGACAACACACTATGGGATTGGATGCATGCTAGTGATGAAGAGGAATAACTTTATTTTATTTTTGATTTATTCTATTGTCTCGTGACATGTTTTCCATAGTTTGTTATAGTATTTGCTTATTCTCATAGTACTGGCAGGAAGTTTTTTTAATATTTAAGAGGTGCAGGTTTATCTATTATCATTTTATTTGTGATTGACCTAAATTACACTTCAAAATGCATGTTGAGAACAGTGAGGGTGGCTGCTAAGAATTATCTATGTTAGGGACCTTAGAGGATTAAACTTTGTTAGTGAGATTTGAATAAATTACTTTCACCCCAACTAGTAATGAGAAAAACCAATTATTTTCTTGTTTTGAATCAAGTTTTGAAGGCCAAAATTAAGAGATCATTTTCTAAGGTTTCTGAACATATAGACAAACAATTTTTCACTAACCATAATGTATAATTTGATATGAATTTAGCTATTTTACAGCCAGGAATGGACAACAGGAGAAAGGAAAAGGTTACTAGAAATATCTTATCAAAGCGAACATCAGCTGCATGTGGAAAAATCCTGTCAGACTATGAGAAGCAGCGAGTAGAACAAATACGCCAAAATAAGGAGAAGATGCTTGGATTAAATATTGTAGGTATTTCTGCATCATTATCAAGTATGGTGGATAGTCAGAGTGGGAGAAAGAAAAATGTAAAACCAAGAAGCGATCCTAACTATGTTCCCACTATCGAAGAAAACAACTCTTTAGAGACAGGTGAAAGGGCAAATACTCCAAAAAAGGTAATATTTAAATATCTTAATTTTGTTTTTTTATACAAAATACTTAATGAGATTTTTTCATTTTGTAGAAAAAGCAGCAGTATATAGCACCATTGTCACTTAATAGAGTTCTTAGGAATAAGCAACCTGAAGTCATGTCAAGAAATGATTCTAAGAATCAACATCTACCTGTGGAAAAAGTTAGATCACAAAACGACAAAGGTAAGAGTCGAGCTACAGATGTGAATATGAAAATGGCTGAATTTTTAAGACAGAAATCTAAAGAGCACAACCTGGAACCATCACGTAGCTCTGATATTCAAGTTGATGTTAACATTGATGACATCCAGGATGAAGGTACATGCTTAATATATTTCTTTCCCCGATTGATATTTTACTCTTATTTAGATCAATATTTTTTTAACTAAGGAACGCTAATATGATTTTGATTGCCACGGATGAATAAGTCCAAATCAATTTGATGATATGAACGCTAATGTGTGCCCACTATGTTGGGTAGACTTTTTGAATAGCTCGTTGATATTATTTTTGTTTTTTGGAGCCAGGGCATGTTTTGTGCTTTCCAATTCTGGTTTGAATGTGGTATTCTAGCGGATGACAATATATGTTGAAAGATATTGTACTCTTACATATGTGTGTGAATATGTATTTGCTATATGATATAATATAATACAGGGCAAAGGCATACAAATATGAGTGATTGGACAGATGATGAGGTTTTAGATAGCACCGAGTTTGATGGAATAGAAGGTATTATTTCTCAAGTGTTAGTGTGACTATTAATTATCAATGGTATGATTGTGCGTATCTATCTTAACTGATTTCTTTAGGTGGAAACAAGTTTGCACAAGAGAATGATGATATTTTGATGGATCAATATGTTGAAGATGTAGACAAGGATGATGATTTTATGCTTGAGTTAAACAGAATTGAGGAAACTGGTAATGTAATGCCTCAAACATCAAGTAAGTGTTTGAATTTTGATACTCTAACCACTGCAGCTTATGTAATGACATGTTTTTTTTGTTTACTTCCTCACAAATATACTTTTTGCTGTTTTATAGATGTTCTGCAAAAGGAAAGAAAAACCAGAGGACCTACAATGATGCATGCAGTGCACACGCGAGAACACTGTGTAACCATCATACTAAATAAATTTGGTCAACCGATTGGACCGGATAAAAAGACACTAGATGAGCTATCGTCGTTTTTGGGAACAATTGCCCACCAATATGAATTCGCTCCACTAATTAATCGTACTTGGTTACGCGTGCCAAATAAGGAAAGGATGTGGGAATATGTGTTGGTATGCTTTTAAGTGATAGTAAATTATTATAGTATATGAAGTTGCATATTTCTTACTTGGTTCAAAACTTTTGTAGTCAAAATATGATATTCCCATAAAAGGACAAAAGTGGGTGCTAGCTACCATTGGATCTGCATGGAGAGTGCACAAGTGTCGACTCAAGCAAAAAATTTGTAAAACTTTTAAGGATAACAAAGCTAGATTGAGTAACCGCCCTGACATGATTCCTGAAGCTCATTTTCGTCAACTGTTGAAGCTATGGAATTGTAAAGATTACCAGGTATATCAAAAGACTTGAGTGCATTATTTCTAAAAACTTAACACACATTAATATATTATTCACATACTAAGTTTGAATACATGGAAATTTATTCTTTAATTTGTAGCAACAATGTTCTCGTAACAAGCGTAATCGTAGTCTCCAAAAGGATCACCACACAGCTGGTCGAGAGTCTTTTGCAAGAATTCGTGATAGATTGGTATATAGCTTACATGTATTTTTAATAATTTATTTTGTTTTGATTCGAGAAGGCATATGAAAAGTTCTGTTATTTGTCTCAGGAAGCTGACCTTCAAGATAGTAGTAGCGTACCTTTAACAACTATGTATGAAGTCACGCGCAAAAGAACTGAAGGGCGAGAGTACAAAGATGCTAATGAAGATACTGTCACAAAAATTGTAAGTTTTACAATTTTGAAATAGTGCAGGTTTTACAATTTTGAAACAGAACTAATCTGTATGTTTTCTGGTAGTTTACAATGTTAGGCTGCATTAATTGTTTTTGTTTTGAACAAATAATTAAAAGTAGTACTAAAGTGAAAAGATCGTAAACTGAACTTGGACATGGACATTATCTGACAGGAAAGATCAGGATCAGGATCTTATTGCAATACCTCTTTGAAGTTATTTTCACTCTCACTAATCTCTTTTTCCAAGTATTCCTTGGAGGCAAAGATGAAATTTCAGTTTCACTATCCTTAACTGTAAACCTACTTCTTAGTCTGCACTATTTGTTTCTAGCTAGATGTTTTTTTTAATTCTTGCATATAATCTTCTGGGATTGACATGCTCTATTGAATTATATGGATGCACAAGAGAAACATATTAAGTAATGGCTTGCATTATTTTTTCAAAACTTTCAATTGTGAAATTACTATTTTTGTAGGTTCAAATGAAGAACTATGAGGCACAAAATAAAAACGATAATGATGCCCGAGTTGATGGATATTCATATGTCATGTCAAAGGAGACTGATGGGCTTCCCATAATGTGCGGTAGAGGTGTCACAAAGAAAGACCTCGCTAAGGTGAATGAAGGTGGACAATCATATGTCGTGACTCCAGATGATATGGAAACAATAATAACCAATATGAGAAAGCAGATTGAAGTGGAAAATGAAAAAAAGAATGCTGAAGTATTAGAGCAAATGCGGAAGGAACGTGAAGGTGAAAAACAAAGGATGAATTTGATATTATCAAAACTGGCTACTTTAATTCCAGATCTTGACCTTGACTTACTTGGACCATAAAGTTAAGAATATGCGAGGTATATATACTTATTTGAACACTATATTTTTAATTAAATGATTCATTCATATTTGTAATATATCATTCATTAATTCTCTCGTTATCTTTTACAGATGTATGTCGGTGGCTGTGGAACAACAAACGATGTTACAATGTGCTCCATAGAGTCATTTAATGATTTTGACATCTCCTGTTTTGTCGAGTAGCCAAGAGCTTTATGCTTGATGTTTTCTGATTTGATACTTTGGAAAGATTTTTATCATTGTTTTGCAAATTTAGGTGTTGACATTGTGATGGATATTTTAGAACACAATTGAATAGATTATAATTTTCTTTCAAATAAATGTGTGATGATATTTATAAGTTATACATTGTGTATGATTGTTACTATTATTGTTATCATTATTACTATTATTGATATTATATTTCATATGTAAGATTTAGTTGTATATTGATGATCAACATGTATCATATAAATTTATATACATACATACATACATATATATATATATATATATATATATATATATTATGAATTTTGAATCAATGTTGCAAAAAATACAATTAATGTGTTACCCAAACATTATTAAAGTGTTGCTTTAAGTTTTATTTCAACTGTTACATATTATGAATTAATGTTGCTAAAAGCAAAATTAACGTGTTACCTAAACATAATTAAAGTGTTGCTTTAAGTTTTATTTCTAGTGTTGCATTTTAGTTTCAAAACTGTTGCATAAGAGAAATGTTAAAGTGTTGCATTTTATTCAAAAAAACGTTGCATAAGTTTATTGTTAAAGTGTTGCTTTATATCTAAAGATATGTTGCATAAGTATAATATTAAAGTGTTGCATTTTATCCAAAAATATGTTGCATAAGTTTATTGTTCAAGTGTTGCATTATCAAGAAAAGGTGTTGCGTAAAGTTATTGTTAAAGTGTTGCAAACAAGTGTTGCATTTGCTTTAATTATGTAACACTTTTACAAAACGTTACTTAACATGCAAAAAAATGTTGCATATGACTTTATGTAACGAGACCTGATGTAGCGCCCATAAAAGTGTTGCAAAAATCTTTTGTAACACTTTAATTGACTAATGTAATACTTTTGAGGCGTTACAAAAAGTCTAATTTGTTGTAGTGATGCGAGTGATAGCATTCAAGTGGCTCTCACACGGTGATTGTTAAAAACAGATTTGCAACAAATGAAATGTCAGGACGTGTAATAGCGAGGTAAAGAAGTTTTCCAACAAGTCTTCTATAGCTACCGAGATGTGATAAAGCCCCATGTCCAGGTAGAAGCTTGTCATTGGGATCCATCGGCGTATCAATTAGCTTACAGTTTGTCACATCAGCTTCTTCAATAATATCTGAGGCATAGTATTCTTTGTGATATGTACACACCTTGTTTTGACTATGCAACTTCAATACCTAGAAAGTATCTCAATTTGCTGAGATCTTTTGTTTCAAAATGCTGAAATAAATGCTTCTTAAGAAGTTTTATTCCCTCTACGCCATCACCCGTGATCACAATATCATCCACGTAAACCATAAGGTAGTTATTAAGACCCTTTTGGATTCTGTAAAATACAGAATGATCAACTTTACTTTGAATCATGTTAAATTTTTGTACTACTTCACTGAACTGTCCAAACCAAGCACGTGCGGACTGCTTCAACCCGTACAATGAGCGTTTGAGGCGGCAAACTAGATCAGTTCCCCCATAAGCAATTAGGGGTGGGCAAAAATACCGAACCGGCATGGTACTGAACTGAACCGGTATGGTACCGGACCGACAAACGGAGTTTGAAATGGATCTCAAATTTTTAGTCCCGAATCAAACCGTACCGATTCTAAACAATGCCATGACCGGTTCTCATAAAATGAGAAACGGTACCGGACCCAACCGGATCGAAGTGTGATTTAATTATTTATATTTTCATTTATACCATTACTTTGACTAATGCCTTCACACTTTCATCGCCTTTGCTAGTTCATAGAAATCCTGGAACTGGACCGATGTATGATTTAATTAGTTTAATTTGTACTACTATAATTTATCTGAAATTTATTAATTATGTAATACCACCTCTGTCCCAAATTGATTTGAAAAAATAACTTTTCTTGGTCAAACCGTTTAGTTTTATTCACTTAATTGGAATGTCAATTTTTAATCATATTCAATTCGGAGTTTGCAACTTCCAAGAGTTTTTAATGTAATTCTGAATATGTAAATTTTAATTGTTAAAAATTGAATCAGTTATCAATTTGGGACAGAGGGAGTATGAAAATTGATAAATTGTGTGGATTTTTGAAGGATGACTAAACTTTATGATAGAGTATATGGGCCTGGACCCCATGGCCCACATACTCAAGTCAACGATGACCAGAACAACACCCACGTGGCCCCCTTCGGCCAGTGGGTCCGCATCGGCCAGAAACCAAACCGGCTCAGGAAGCACGCATGGACTTCCAGGACCGCATCGGCCCATGGACCGCATCGGCCATGGGACCGCATCGGCCAAAAGTGTACCGCATCGGCCAGGCCTCGTCCTAGCAGAATGCATCTCTCTACTTTATTTGCTAAGTATTGTACTCGGCCCATTAGTGGCCCTATTTCGCCCAAAGAGGGCATGATTATTGTAATGGGCCTCCTAAGCCCATGGCTAGGAGCCCAAATCCATATTTTTACCTATAAATAGACCCCTTGGGGCTAGTTATAGGGGGTGGAGAAATATAATTACTCACTTTCTCTCTCTAGCTCTCTCTTCTCTCTAGAATTAATACTCTATCATTTGGTGCTTTCATTGAGAGTCTAGAACAGATCAAGTGAGTACCCCTCGTCGCTACTAGACGCAACAGAATGACAAGAACTAGGTCAAAGAACACCGGTAGGAATGCCCCTCTGAACCAGGAAGGGCAGGGAAACGTTGCTGACAACGTCCCCAATGATCTCATCATCCAGGATGAGAATGCTCAGGAGGTCGAGCACGCAGCGGCCGACCTCCGCGTCCAGCTCAACAGGACTGCCCCAGACGCCCGCATCGGGCTCGAGGACAGACGCAATGCTGATCGCGTTTCGGGCCAGCAGACTTCTCACCCTGCTGCCCCCCAGATCAACCCAGCCGCACTATCGGCCATCGTCGCAAGCATTCTCCAGGACCCCAACGTCGTCAGCGCCCTCGTCGTAAAGACAGGGGAGAACAACACTCCGGCAACCGGAGAGGTCGCAACGGTGCCACCACCGCCACCTCGTCCGCAAGGCGTCACCTTCTTCGGTGACAACGAGGACGTCCTCGCCGTGGACACCCATTCCCACACTGCCTCACCTACCCGGGATACACCGGCCCAACCTCGCGGTAAAATCTCAGCCTTCAACAGGCTGGGTGACATCGCGAGCCGTCGGGTACCTACGGGAGGGGTGGCGGGTCGGTTGGGTGGCCGCGAGCCGGGGTCGCCAAAGGAAAGCTTCGGGTCCGTTTCCCGGACAACGGATCGGCCCCGACCAGACAAAGGAAAGGGAAAACTGAATGATAATGATGCGCGCCATCAGATCAACCTGGCCCACGCGGCCCGGATCCAGACCCCTCTGGGTGGCGCTGCGGCCAACACGGACCCAAGGGACGAAATCATCGCCCGCCTGGAGAAGCGCCTCGCTGATATGGAGGCCAGAGAGGCCGCAGGGC